AGCCGCCCGCCCTCTGCCTTCGTTTGTCGCACGCGGTGCGGGCGAGGTGCTCTCTCTCTCTCTCTCTCTGTGGCCTTCGCTTCCGATCGGCTGCGCTCCGTGCAGCATGACGCCCCCGTTGCTTGGTTCTGTTAGGATCGGCGCGCTCCTCCCGTCGTTCGGGAATGGCGCCCTCGCCCCGGGCACGGGCCACGTGCCCGGGTCCGAGTGCTTCCCCGTCGTCGTCGCCCCCCTTCGTTTCCCCTCCCCCGCCCTCCCCTTGGTCCTGCTCCTCCCACTCCGCCTGCTCCTGCTGCTGCAGCTCCTCCTCGTCCTCCTCCTTCCTCACATCTATCCCTGCTCCTGATCGTCCTCCTGGTCGCCCGCCACCTCCTCCAATGTGCGCGACTCCCCTTCTCGGATCGGTCGCAATACTATGGGGTCCCTCGGGGTGTTCCAGGTCCGCTATGACACCCGCTGGCCCGTGGGTAGACAGGGGAAACTCAGCGTGACGGGATGGGATGGGAGGGAGGGGTACAGTCGGGGCTCTGAAGAAGGAACCCTGTTCGTTGGGGAGGGGCTCGGTGTTCCTTGATTGTTTCACAGCTTGCCTCAGGTTTTCCTGATGTTTTCGATGGGAGATCGAAGTTTAACTTATGGACAAAAAGGGGCCCCGTTCCTTATTTGGGGTTCCTTAGGTCAACGCCCCGACGGTAGGATGTCAGATGTGGCGCGAGCGCACCTAGTTTACCCTCGCCCCCTCGCCCTCCCACCCGCCCACCCGCCCACTCTCGGCCCCTCCTCCCGCACTCGCCTCCGTCCCGCCCAGACCCCCGTCGCGATTTCGCTCACAGCGTCGACCCCTGGAGGTCCAGACCCCTTCCCCGACACCAGCTTCTCGTGCCGAGTCGTTGTCTGACGGTCCCAGGGCCCGGTAGGGGCCCGCACAGGCCGAACACATCGAAGGAGCCTGCCGTCACGATTTTTTCATGACTCGAGGGGGTCTGTGTGCTCAGCAGGTGCCTGGTCAGGCGCGTCTCCCGGTCCCGCTCCCCTCGACGATAGTCCCATTTTGAGAACCATGGCCGTCCATCCTTGTGACTGTTGCAAGCTTTTACGACGAGAGCTCCATGTCGAACCCGTTCCATGCGTGTAACGGTCCCAGCTTTCAAGCTTAATGATCATACGTTGTCGGGAACTGTCAGGCGAAACGCATGGCACGCCCTGCGACACGTCTGGGTGCTACAGGGAGGAGCTAGTAATAAGGAAAACGGATGAAGGAGGACGAGGGGGAGAAGGAGGAGGAGGAGGAGGTGGAGGAGGAGGAGGAGGAGGAGGAGGAGGAGGAGGAGGACGAGGGAGAAGGAGGAGGAGGAGGAGGTGGAGGAGGAGGAGGGACGAGGAGGAGGGGGAGAGGACGAGGAGGGATGAGATGGGATGGGACGGGATGGGATGGGATGGGGTGGGATGTGGGGAGGAGGAGGAGGAGGACGAGGAGGAGAAGGAGGAGGAGGAGGAGGAGGAGGACCAGGATGAGGAAGAGTCGGAGTCGGAGCAGTCCGAGGAGGAGGAGGAGGACGAGGAGGAGAAGGAGGATGAGGAGGAGGGATGGGATGGGATGGGATGGGATGGGATGGGATGGGGTGGGATGGGATTGGATGTGATGTGATGGGGAGGAGGAAGACGAGGAGGAGGATGAGGAGCAGCAGGAGGAGGACGGGGAGGAGGAGGAGTCGGAGGACGAGGAGGAGGAGTCGGAGGAGGAGCAGGAGGAGCAGGAGGAGCAGGAGGAGCAGGAGTAGGAGCAGCAGCAGCAGCAGCAGCAGCAGCAGCAGCAGCAGCAGCAGCAGCAGCAGCAGCAGCAGCAGCAGCAGCAGCAGCAGTAGGGGGGACAGAGAGAGGAGGGGTGGGAGGAGGAGGAGGAGGAGGAGGAGAAGGAGGAGGAGGAGTAGGAGCAGGAGGAGGAGGACCAGTGAAAACCCAAGAGTCATCAACGAGGTTGGAATAAACCCTCCCTCCAAGCTCAGTCTTCATAGTACCCTACAACGGTTCATTTCCACTGAGGGGACTGCCTCGTCGGAAGACAAAATTGCTTGGAGACGCTGAAGCATGCCAAAACATTGTTCTCGGGATTCCAACGCCACGACGATCTTGAATCCAATGCCTCTGCTGCGTCTGGACGATATTGAATCGTGCCAGCGCTCCAGTCCTTGGATAAAACCGCGAATCAACGTCACTGTTGCGCCCTCGCAATTGCTGGTACGTTAATCATGGCAATACGTTGAACTCTTGCTGCAACTTACAAAAACGAATGTGCGCGGCACTAACTCGAGGGCGACATTGTGAAAAGGAACCGCCTCTCAATCCGTGAAGCTCCCTCATAAATTTTTAAGACGAGTGTTCGCGGCGCTAAGGCGAGAGTCATATTTTGAAAACCACCCGCCCTGCGCCCGTGAAACTCTTGCATTTCTGTTCCAGCGAATGTGCGCGGCGCTAAGGCGAGAGCCACATTTTGAAAACCACCCGCCGTCAATCAGTGAAACTATTTGCAAATGTTTAAACGAATGTGCGCGGTGCTGAGGCGAGAGCCACGCTTTGGAAACAACCCGCCTTCCATCCGTGAAGCTCTTGCAAGTTTATACGAATGTACGCGGCGCCCAGCCGAGAGCCACATTTTGAACATCAGCCGCCTTCCATCCGTGAAGCTTTTGCGCAAATATTTGAAGCGAGTGTGCGCAGCCCGAAGGCGAGAGGCACAGTTGGAGAACCACCCGCCCTCAATCCGGGAATCTCTGTGCAATGTTGTCCAACGAATGTGCGCGGCGCTAAGGCGAGAGCCACATTTTGAAAACCACCCGCCCTCCATCCGTGAAGCTTTTTCCATTTGTTCAAACGAATGTGCGCGGCGCTGAGGCGAGAGCCACATTTTGAAAACCACCCGCCCTCCATCCGTGAAGCTCTTGCAAATGTTTGAAGCGAATGTGCGCAGCCCGAAGGTGAGAGCCACATTTTGAAATCCACCCGCCCTCCATCCGTGAAGCTCTTGCAATGTTGTCCAACGAATGTGCGCGGCGCTCAGGCGAGAGCCACATTTTGAAAACCACCCGCCCTCCATCTGTGAAGCTCTTGCAAATGTTTGAAGCGAATGTGCGTGGCGCTGAGGCGAGAGCCACATTTTGAAAACCACCCGCCCTGCACCCGTGAAGCTCGTGAATTGTTGCACGAATGTGCGCGGCGCTTAGGCGAGAGCCACATTGTGAAAACCACCCGCCCTCCATCCGTGAAGCTCTTGCATTTTTACACGCATGTGCGCGGCGCGAAGGAGAGAGCCACATTTTGAAAACCACCCGCCCTCCATCTGTGAAGCTGTTATATTTTCCATTTTTTCAGAGGCATAGATGGTGAGGAGGTCTAACAAGTGGTCTCGGGGTGCGACAGAGGGCAGTTGTTTGTAACGAAAAGGAGTGGAGGAGGAGGAGGAGGAGGAAGAGGAGGAGGAGGAGGACGAAGAGAAAGAGGAACACGAATAATGATGGAATTAGAAATACTAGTATGAAGTTTAAACAGATACTAAGAAACATACTTGCACTAATCATTGGAGGAATAATCCTATTGTTAATATTATTAACAGTAATACAAGCAGTACGATCAATAAGAGTAGGAATAGCAATAATAAGAATGATATAAGGAGGAGGAGGAGAAGGAGGAGGAGGAGGAGAAGGAGAATAAAGAGGACCAGGCAGGGGCTATGGACAGGGCGAGCAATGGAGGAGATGAGCAGGATGAGGGAGGGAGGGAGGGAGGGAGTAGGGAGGAGGGCAGGAGGGGAGGGCAGGAGGGGAGGAGGGGAGGGAGGAGGCAAGGAGGGGAGGGAGGGAGGAGCCCTCTCCTCCCTCGTGCCCTCCTCGTCCTTCCCCGCCTCCTTGCCCTCTCCTGCGTGCCCTCTCCTACTCACCTTCCTCCGTTTCACGGCAGGCTCGCACCGTGGCGATGCGACCACGACCCTGGCGCGGGCGTTCCAGTGGAGCCTAACGCCCGCAGCCTGGGAATCGGCCGACGTCGAACGCTCCGCGCTGACGGGGCGCCGCGATCTTCACGGCGTCAGAAGCCAGCGCCGCCGTCGCGTGACGACCCTGCCGCGCTCTCCTGCTCACCCTGCTCCTCACCCCCCCATCGACCCCCTCGCCTCCTGGCCCTCCTCCTGCTCGCTCCTTCTCCGAACCCGGCTCCCACCTCGATCTCCGACTCCGGCCCCCGTCTCTCCGACTCCGGCTTCTGTCTCTCCACAACCTGTGGTCGTTTTCTCCTATTCCGATCTCCATCTCTCCGGCTCCGGCTCCGGCTCCGGCTCCTGCCCCCAACACGTCTCCTGCGGGCTCCGGCCCCCCCCCCCCGCACCGCCCTATGAGGGCCTTCGGAGGCCGAGGCGGAGGGGAACGCCGGGGCTGAACATATCGTTGTTTCGGGGGTCTGGGTTCTCTCTCGGGGGCCCCCAAACGGGGTGGTGACCACACCGTGTGGTGAGTCGGTGGGGATTCGGGGTCACCGCACGGTTTTGGGACTCGAATCCCTCTCCGAGGGCGTCTCGGGCGACAGGGGCATCTGAGGTCCAAAAGCCGCGCGTTGACGGACCGTGCGTTGACGAACCGTTGACGGACCGTTGATGTCAGCACATGATACGCATCAGTCTGTCCTACAGCGTCCCACTTCAGCCTCCCGCTCGCTCTTCCGCTCGCCCTCGGGCCCCCCCCTCTCTCGTTCTCCCTTCTCGCCCCCCCCCCTCACGAAGGACGAGATCGGGTCAACAGTGATCGCGCCAGCGCTACGTGTGCGATTTTACGGGGACGCGCCCCCCTACAGCGGGATCTCCTCGGAACGGCAGAGTGCCCTCCGTTGTCGTCGACCTCGCAGCAGCCATGGCATCCACGCCCAGCGCTGGCGTGACAGAGCACCGCCCCTCGCCCCTTGCGCGGCGCTGTGCCTCCCGCGCGCCACTCCGCGGGCGCTCCCGCCGCTCGGAGGCGTTGGACCCGGCCAGCGCGCCGCCGTCGCGCCGATCGGCACGGTCGAAGCAGGCACGGGAGGAGTGTCAGGGGGGCATCCAGGGGCCCAGATAGCAGGCGCCCCGAACAGAAGCGGGAGCGGTCGGCCTGGGGCCGCTTCCGGCCTCCGTGGGCCCGCGGTCAGGGCTCCGGCGCGTCAAAGAGCGGCCCAGGGCGAAACATTTGCCCTAGGGTTAGGTCGGGCATGTCCTCCTACAGGCGGATTTTGGGCGACAATGAATCATGTTTTCAAAAATCACAATTACATCGGCGTTACAAAAGTTTCGTCATAAAATAAAAGTCGGTCATCTTGCATAAGCAAAGACAAATCCCGCCCCGGTGGGATTTCTAGAACCGTGTGAATTTACGTCGGGATTTCAATCTGTCCCGTTTTAAATCTATACTATTATAGTAAGGGATGAAAACCCACTTGTTTAGAAATCCCGGATCTTTAATCCGACCGCTCTTGACACAGTCCGCTAGGATTCTAGGAGGGAAGGGGGGGCCAACTCGGCGCGGCCAGGGCAGTGGTCAGCCTCTGCCCGCTTGCTCACGCGGAAGGAAGACACGAAACCCATGCCACCTTCAAGCTCTCATGAAACGTGACGAACTTTTGTAACGGCGTAGTAGTCAATCTATAGTCGAGGCAGTAGCAGTAGGTTCTTGAAGTCTATGCGGTGCAATATATGTGGTGCAATGTATCTGATGCAACCAATGTAATTCAATCCATGCGGTGCAATCTATGCGTCGCAATCTACGTGCTGCAATCTACGCGGTGCAACCTATGTAATGCAATATATGCGATGCAATCGATGTGGTGGATTCCATGTGGTGCAATCTACGCAGTGCAACCTATGCAATGCAGCCTACGCGGTGCAATCGATTTGGTGCAATTTACGCGATGCAATCTATGCGGTGCAATCTATGTGTTGCAATCCATATGGTGCAATCTACGCGGTGCAACATATGTAATGCAATATATGCGGTGCAACCTATGTGGTGCAACCTATGTGGTGCACTTGATTTTTACCCATGATGTGACACATCCCACGCTCTTGCAAACATCCCACCCATCCACCCGCAACTTGGTTTGCAAAACCTCTTAAGACCGACTGCGACGACACCGACGACGACGACTACGACGACACCGACGACGTCTCCGACGACTTCGACGACGACAACGACGCCGACGCCGACGACGAAGACGACGACGACGACGACGCCAACGAAGACGACGACGAGGGAGGAGGAAGGACGACGACGGCGACAACGACGACAACGACGACAACGACGAGGGAGGAGGGATGACGGTGGCGACGCGAACGACGAAGAAGGAGGAAGGACGGCGACGCCGTCGACGACAACGACGAGGGAGGAGGGAAGACGACGACGACAGCGACGACGACGACGACGAGGACGGCGACGAAATAGGAGGGACGACGACGAGACGCCGACGACGGACGACGACGACGAGGGAGGAGGAGGAAGGACGACCACGGCGACAACGACGACGGAAACGACCACGACGCCAAAGAGGACGACGACGACGAACACGAGGAACGACAGAGGACGACGTAGGCGACGACGACGGCGCGGGAGGAGGGAGGACGGCGACGACGACGACGACTCTTACGACGCAAGAGCGCGCGCGCACGCTTTTGTTGAAAATCCGTGTTGCGAAACCTTGTGTTTTTGTAGGTTTTTTGGACGCGCGATTTTGAAATCCTTCCGAAACCTATGGGTTTTGAAGGATTTCGTCGTACGCGCGCGACGACGCGCGCATCTGCACTTCGTCCCATTTTTTCAGAGGGTTCTCGCCATGGCACACGCGCAAGGGCGTTCGACAGATTTCGACGTGCGCGCGCGACGCCCGTTTGGTAGCATGCTGTGAGAATCTTGAAAAAACAATGGTTTTCTTAAGATTTCGCAAATGCTCGCGCGTAAGCTTTTTTAGCAAATCAGTGTTACGAAACCCTGTGTGTTTGTATGTTTCTTTGGAAGCTCGATTGCGAAATCCTTCCGGCACCGAAGGTTTTTGAAGGATTTTGGCATGCGCGCGCGGCGACGCGCGCGTGTGCATTTCGTCCCGTTGTTTTGCATGGGATTCGTGCAAAAGTGTTATGTTAGAACAAACAATGTCACCGCATTGTGTGTTTCTTTCCATATGTAGGATGGACATTGTGATTTCATATTTAGGATGGGCATGTGGTCATAATCATATGTGATTTACATACCCGAAAGGGGGACCGGTACGCCGGGAGGGGGGAAGAGTCTGGTAGAGTCTATTCTCTTTTTAGAAAGGAGAATCTACGCGGTGCAATTAATCTTTGACCGTCTTGAAGCTGTCCTCTCCACTGCTCGTGCAAACATCCCACCTTCCCACACGCAATTTGGTCGCAAGGCCTCTTAAGACAAGACCGTGACGGTAGGTACCACATGACACTTGGCCACGACACCGACGCCGACGACGTCAGCGACAACGACGACGACGGCGCCGCCGACACCGACTGCGACGACACCGACGACGACGACGGCGACTACGACGACACCGACGACGTCTCCGACGACTTCGACGACGACAACGACGCCGACGCCGACGACGACGAAGACGACGACGACGTCGCCAACGAAGACGACGACGAGGGAGGCGGAAGGACGACGACGGCGACAACGACGAACGACGACAACGACGAGGAGAGAGGAGGGAGGACGGCGACGACGCGAACGACGAAGAAGGAGGAAGAACGGCGACGCCGACGACGACAACGACGAGGGAGGAGGGAAGACGACGACGACAACGACGACGACGACGACGACGACGGCGACGAAATACGGGGGACGACGACGAGACGCCGACGACGGACGACGACGACGACGAGGGAGGAGGAGGAAGGACGACCACGGCGACAACGACGACGGAAACGACCACGACGCCAAAGAGGACGACGACGACGAACACGAGGAAAGACAGAGGACGACGTAGGCGACGACGACGACGACGACGCGGGAGGAGGGAGGACGGCGACGACGACGACGACGACGACGACGCAAGAGCGTGCGCGCGCTTTTGTTGAAAATCCGTGTTGCGAAACCTTGTGTTTTTGTAGGTTTTTTGGACACGATTTTGACATCCTTCCGAAACCGATGGGTTTTGAAGGTTTTCGGCATACGCGCGCGACGACGCGCGCGTCTGCACTTCGTCCCGTTTTTTTGCAAAGGATTCTCGCGGCGGCACACGCGCAAGGGCGTTCGACAGATTTCGACATGCGCGCGCGCGAAGCCCGTTTAATAGCATGTTGTGAAAATGTTGAAAAAATAACCTATGGTGTTCTTAAGATTTCGCAAATGCTCGCGCGGAAGCTCCTTTAGCACATCAGTGTTGCGAAACCTTGCGCTTTTGTAGGTATTTAGGAAATTCGATTGCGAAATCCTTCCGGCACCGAAGGTTTTTGAAGGATTTCGGCATGCGCGCGCGACGACGCGCGCGTGTGCACTTCGTCCCGTTTTTTTTGGCAAGGGAATCGTGACAAAGTGTTTGTTTATAACAACAAATGTCACAACATAGTGTTTTTTGCAAGGGAACCCCGGGGGGGGGAACCCGGCTGGCCTGGGATAGTGTAAATTCAAATTTAGGATGGACATGTGGCCAGAATCATATATGATTTACATATCCGAAAGGGGGTCGATAACGCCAGGGGGGTAGATCCTATTCTGTTTTTAGAAAGGAGAATCGATGCAATGCATTGTATGCGCCGCAATCTATGTGGTGCAATACGGCGCCGACGGGCGGCGCCGCCCGCAAAAAGCGCCACTCGCCCCGAGCGGCGGCCTGCGATGGCGGCGACGGCGGCGACGGGCGGCACCGCCCGCAAAAACCGCCATTCACCCCGAGATGGTAAGCCAAGTTAGAACCTTTCAGTGCAAGCATTGTTTGGGGAAAAAGTAGTCCCCAGAGTATTTTTGGGGTATTTTCGGATATTCCTCCTGTAGAGGGACATGCCCGACTTAACCCTAGGGAGGTGGTCCAGACCTCGGGTGCCCGCGCATCGAAAAAATCCGAGCGGCCGGATGTTTGGGCTGGGGGGGTCCAGGGAGGGGGTGGAGGCCAGGGTCGGCCTGACCGACCCCTAGCAAACCACTCCCTTCCGTGACGTCCCCCTCGCCTCGCCCCAGGACGTGTGCATGCGGCCAGAGGGGCGGAAGGCGAGGATGTTTGCTTGGGGTCGGTTGGGCCGCGCCCGGGGAGGACTGCGTTTTCGGTCGGTTTCCGGCGGTCTCCCACCCTCGGGATGCTTTCCGGCAGCTGTGCCTCGCCGAGGGCGCTGCGGGAGTGCCCAGATCGCCCCGAGCGGCCGCCGGAGGCCCGAGTTGGGGATCGAAGGCCACCAGGCGTCGAAGAGGGGGTGAGGCCGGGGGGGAGGGGGATATCATGGCTGGGGCCATGCGACGTTTCCTGGATTTCATTGCTTCCTCTGCTTCTTTCAGCGCGCCCCTCTTGGCTCCCCCTCGACCGCGTACGCGCCTCGGGTCATGGTACTCCAACCGTTCCTTTTCTGCCCCGCCCCTCTTCGGCGCGCCTTGGACTGGGAATGACAACCAACGGATCCCGCCAAGGATTACAGAACCACGAGCTTTCGAAGGTCTGCGCGGACGTTCGGATGTGTATGCATATGCTTCTTCTGCGAAAGCCGACACCGAGAGCAGTTCCTGCACTTCTCTCCAGAGGAATTGCTGTCGGTGCCGTCACGGATGTTGTTTGCTTCAGATCACATGCGTCTGCCAGACAGCGTCCGTTACCCATTTGGGAAAGTTTTTTGTGTTCAGGCGGCGGAACAGATGCATATCCACTGCTCCCCGGCCGGGCCCATCCTGAACCCAGGAGCGGTGTATACGCCCTCCCGGCCAAGGCAGGAGGGCGTGGCGCATGCACCGCTGCTGGGTTCAGGGTGGGCCTCGCCAGGGAGCGGTGGGTGTGTACCGATCTCGTCGCCCCGGGTGCTCGGCAGCGTGCGCACTCTTTCCG